ATGAAAAGAAAGCACAAAGAAATATAAATATTTCAGAATACATTCTACAAAAGTGGAACATATCAAACAACCAAGTCCTGACATAGGGAAACCAACCCGTTTGAGACATTGATCAACAATGGATTATGAAGAACATAAAAATACAAGAGATGTCAGAAAATTTTATAAAAACATCAAAATACAAAGAAATATCAGAAAACAAACATATCAATGAAACAAATAGAGGACTTGGATTCAATTTGTTCAATGAAAACACATCTGAGAAAAACCTAACCTGAAACCAAAGGTGATTTCATATTATATGAAAACCTAACCTGAGAATAAATATACCCTTCTTGAGACATATTTGGATTCGATTTGGTTGTAGCGGCATCCTTTTTTCCTCAATCATCAATGGTGACATCGTTTTCCCTTAAACACCATGTCACTGAAATACGGAATTCTTCCATCCTTGTCGCAGTGACAAAAAATCCACTTATAGCAATTGGATTGCCAAATGCTTGTCACACTTCATCCAAATAAAACCACAACTTTTGTAGCTTGATAGTGTGTAGAAGGTTTGAGAAAAACTTACATCATTAAATCCCTTTGAAAGGAATTGATCGATGTATATGAATCAATGCTCTGTTATTTTCATCAATTAGTCTAGAATCAAAATCAGAAATGTGTATCAATCATCATTAAATCAATATAGTTTTTAAGAAAAAATAACACTAATGAATAAACCCAACAAATCATAGATGGCGATTAGGAGTGAGTGAACTGAACGATGATTATCCGATACATGGATTCCGATCGAATAGCTTTAATCCAATCATGACGTCAATGTGATATCAATTACTCTTTTTATCAAGAAATATTTGAAGACGTTCTACATTACAATCACCTCCAACAAACAAAGCAAATAAAACCCATTAAACGATAGATTTTACTTGGACAAGGGAGTCTGCGAAAAGGGGCGTGACCAGAAAAAGAACTCCAAGAACAAGGCTTCGAATCCCATTCTTTGTCCATCTCCTTCTGTTTTCGTCTTTTTTACTTCTTGCAGTCTACTTGACATATTGAGATAGTAAGAAGGCATTTGAATGTCGGGGACATTTCGGATGAGGGTGCTTCGTAGATCAATAGAGTGTGGGATTATTTGAATGGATTAGGGATAAGGATAGATGTGAGAGATACATAAAGGCATAGTGTATTTGAATAAGTTGTACCAAAGCAATAATAACTTGTAAATTTGAAAGTTTAAGTAATTTAGCTTTTAATTAAAGGTACAAAATGCTTTAAGAATTGTTTTTAAGAGTTTGACCCAAATGTTTTATAATACAGTATAGATACACACACATACACTATATATACATATATATATATATATAGAGAGAGAGAGAGAGAGAGAAAGAGAGGAGCGATCAAATGTAAACCACCCATATTTGTACAAACCGTGCAAACCACCCTCATTCGTCGATTTCATTGTTTAATCTTATGATTTTTTTTCATGAAATTGTTTAATCTTATGAAATTTTAATGAAACTGTCTCATATATTTCTCTAAAATTAATATAATGAAGATGATAATATCCATGATTAACACAATCCACAATAAAAATGATTAATCAATCTCTCATAATTACAAAAAAATGAAGAAAATGAAAAAATATGATTGGTTGAACGAGGTTTGTATGTTTTGTACAAATAACGTGGTTTGCAAAGTAAACCTCTTCCTCCTCCTCCTCTCTCTCTTTATATATATACATATACATATATATATATATATAATAATAATAATAATAATAAAAATAATCGAGGTCAGATTAGAGGTAGGTAATGCCACCCCTGATCTTGCCCGGACCCCGCTTTGGGTATGAAAATAAAATCCCGTTCCTGCCCTGTTACCCGTCAAACCGGAGAATCCCCACCCCTTTAGGGTCAGATACTCGCTCCAACTGGTAAAGTTTCCATCTCTACCCAAAATGTGGTTAAGACTCATGCCCCTAAAGATCAAAATACATATAATACTCTATATTCAATGGCACTAAAAGTATAGATAACTCGATATCCAAAACAACACCTCTTGATGACGAGGGAGATCCATTTTCACTGAATGCTGTGGAAACACAAAAGTAAGTCACTTATCAATGTTATCGAGTTTCACATCGGATCATGGAGCCTCATATACGACTCTTTTAAGTCCCATTGCAAGATCCCCAAAATTGACCCCAATGTCTACTCAACCCCTAGATGAGCTATACCACATAAGTCAATGGTCTCCTTGTATACGACTCCAACGAGTTCTACTGCAAGACTTAAGCTTCGTATACGACTCTTCCGAGTACCACCCCAAGCTTCCTAAATATTGACTTGATGATCACTCTCTAAGCTTAAGTAAGGACATCAAAACTTCATATTTAAACAACAACAAACAACGCACTATTATGCCTATGTATCAAATGCATTACAGTCTAAATTACATAACTCCAATTGAATGACCAACCCACTGAAAACATTAATTCTCAACAATTATGTAAAATATGTAATTCACGTTCAAACAAAAATAACTTAGGTTGCGCTAAACCCATCATTCGTCTAAATAAATCATCACCCCATGATAATTATACAACTTTACTTCTAAAGAAAAATAAAAACAATAAAGCACATTTTATCGCCACAAACATCGAATGATCGAACCCATGTGAATCGTACTCTTACAATATTCCATGGATTCCCTTTGAAACATTCAATAGTTTATAGCCTAAATACACCGAAGTATGACTATGACATTTACCTCAACAGATAAATGCTAGATGCCAACAAAGGTCACTCTCAGGTGATTTTCATCCTTCAATATACTCAAAACTCAAATATTAACATTTCGAGGTTTTATGGAGGCATACGTGCCAAATTCACAAATACATTATATACCCAACACCATTTGGTAAAATCTTAAGCAAAACGATTAGAAATTCTTTCAAACAGATTTCCCATCTGTTTCGACACAAGATGCTCCCCAAAGCAAGAATATTCACAAAAATCAATTATATTTGTCATAACCCATAGAGATGCATTCAATACACAAATTAAGGATATTTTGACACGTATATGGTTTTCAAAGCAACTAAAACTCACGTTGTAAGATTTATGTTAAATCTAGGTTTCAACATGAATCTTGAGTTTCCTTTGGTGAAAAATATCTCAACAAATCCTCTAAACTTCAGCTCCAAGACCTCAAAAATGAGTTCTTCTACTTCTGAAGTCTCTAAGGGCCGTTTACCTAAACATTTATCCGGTAAACACTTACCAGTATAATTCAACACTATCACTTATTTATCGGTAAGATTTTATTCACTAAAATGCATCGTATGCAACAATTTATCTCGGTAAGCGCTAACCATGGTAAGAGTCATCGTTCTCACTTACCGGGCAAGACTCTCGATTCTTGCATTCGCTCTTACCGGGTAAGATTTTTAGTCCTTTCCATATTCATCCGGTAAAGTAAAGTGACTTGGTAAACACTTAACGGGGTAAGCGTTTAGAAAACGGCACCTAAATCACACTAGGAAGAAAGGAAAAGAGAAAGGGTTGAAAGAATGGTCAAACCAAAGCTTCATTTAATAGAGGGCTTGAAAAGGTTTGAACTTCAATCTTCCCCAAGCTCAACAAGTACTCAAATCATCTTGAAAAACCTCCCAATATCGATCTTGGCTCCCAAAAATCACACAAAAAAAAGAGATGAGAAATGGTATGGACGAAATGTGAAGAAACCCTAAAAAATAAAACTTTTAAAGGTTGCAAGTGCATTATGCTATCAGGGGCGAGCGACAAGTCACCCCCACGGATGGAAAATGATGATTTAGGTTAAAAAAATTGGAACCTTAAAAAACCGAGATGGTTATTTGAATGAAATCACCCAAAACCACCTTCTCTCATTCCTAGAACAAACAAGGAAAGATGAAGATGGTGATTTGAAAAGGAATCATCGAAACACCTTTTATTTAGGTTTACCTCAGGTTTTATGATTTGTTCATCATGTTCTTGACAGAGAAGATGAATATCAAACAAAAGAAAAACTTAATTAAAAGATTATTGAAATAAAAAGTGACAAAAAAGACTAAAACGCCCTCGAGTTTAATGAAGAAGATGAACAGTCGTTTGGTTTAGGGACCAAAATCATGAAAAAGTGCAAACCACATGCCCTTTTATGTAAAAAAACATAGTCTAGGAACCAAAACTGTAAATCATCAATATAACAGGGACTAAAATCGTAATTACTGAAAATGCAAAATACAAATATAAAAGGAGAAAGAAAAATTGAAGTGTAGCTTAGTCCCCAAGAAAAGGGTTGGTGCATGACGTTTCCTTTTTCTTCTTTCAATCTTATACAATTATAATTTTAATTTATTATTAATTTTTATATTGTTTTTTTTCCTTAAAATATTTACCTGAGAAAACAACTAGACCTTTTCTAGAAAGTAGATTTTTCAGAAAACTATTTATTATTAAAAAAATACATTTTCTATTGAATAAAATCAATATTTATTATTAATTTTAAAAGTAATTATAGGCTACAAGAATATATTTTATATTCTTAACTTTTTTTAAATTATTACTTAAATGAAAATTAAAAATTGATGTAATAAGGAAGAAGGGGGACGAGATGATGGAACGACGTCGTAGAAGGGGATACTTGGTTGGTTTCTAATGCTCCCCACCACAAATAAGTAAAGGCCTCCGATCCAGCGAATCAATCCCTTGTCTCTCTTATCATTCTCTCTCTCTCTCTCTCTCTCTCTCTCCGCCTTCATCAAACAATTTTCGTTTTGATTTTTCTCTTCTTCCCACCCTTTTCAACTCTGTTTCTCTCTCTTAGGGTTAGGGTTTTCTAAATATACAAAATTATGATGCACAGGAACTCCATCTTCACTCTCTGCAATTTCTCTCTAATTCTACTCTCTGCTTCATCCATGGCTTAAATTAGCTTCGTTTTTTCTTTCTCAAGGTATAATTCTAACTCTCATTCATATTCCTTTTCCTCTACTATTGTTATTATGTGTTTTCACGTGCTTTCTTCTTCTTAATCATGTTTTTCTGTTTTTCATGTATTAGACTAGGGGCTTGTTTTGTTTTGCTTACTTATATGTCTATATGAATGTTTTCTTAGGGTTTATATATGATGGTTTCGTTCGTCTATAGGAGAGTGTTTTGTGGCCCATTCAAAGTTGTGATTGTGGGGAGTTGGGGTTACTTTGTTTGTTTGATTTTATGTATTTCTGTTGTTCTAGGGAGCTTTAGCATGTGCAGTTCGTGTTTGCCTTGCATTCTAGCCTAAGCTAGATTCATTCTCGTTGACGGCATACGAATTTTGAAGCTTCTGTGAGATTTATAGATTTTGAATGCTGGGAAATGGTTTGGATATGTTGATATGACCGGATGAAACCCATTTCCAACTCGCTGGACTTGTCTTCTTCAACTCTTTTGATTTTCATGATTTGGCTAATAAGAAGATTAGCTATAGATGCCAGTGTTTCTGACTTTGTAGCTTGCTATGGAACTTTATTCATAACTTCTATATAAGATTGTGACTTAAACACCTTTTGGATTGCATTGGCTCTTTTTTTTTGGATGGTTTTTATGATTTCTGTTAAAAGGGGCATGTGTTTGAGTTGTACTACATATGTTTTTACAGTGGTGGCAGTCGTGGAATGGATGTGTATAATGTTCCTGAACATGGAAATGCAGATGCTTACCTGGTAAATTAAACAGAGGATGTTGAAAAAATAATACAACTTACAAATAAAGATAAACATTGAACGAACATGTGTATTTATGACGTTGTGTTGATGCTAATGTTTCTCTCCTTTCAGATTCAAGGCACTACTGACCCAAATTCACAATTAACCAATCCCCTTCTTGAACCACTTGAAGTTATGTATAACGAAGGTGCCCCAGAGTTTGTTATTGATCAGGGCATGTATTATCCTTCTGCTACCAATTATGGCTATATTTGTACAGGTATGCGTTATATTTAGTTTCTTGGCATCTTGCACAAATTAATGCCTTGCAATACCTGATTCTTTGTATGTTTTATTGTGAACAGGGTTGGAATCACCTGGTGATTGGGATGACCACCATAGAGTTTTTGGTGTGGATGGTCAAAATATTCAGTTCATAGTAAGCATATTAACTATATCATTAATTTCTTTTGGAGAAGTTGTCTATGTTGGAGCATTCTTAATGTTTACTTTTATTATCCAGGGCACTCAAACAGAAAGTTTGCCTTATGTGTATTATACACCTAGCTATGGATATGCACAGTCTCCATATAACCCATACAATCCTTACATTCCTGGTGCCATGATAGGAGCTGATGGCTCGTATGTGGGGACACAACAGTACTACATGCCCTCTTATGAAAATGGTGCTACTTCACCAGCTTACTTTCCCATGGTTGTTCAATCTGGACCAGACACTTTCACAAGTGGTACGACAGACCAATTCATGGATATGGCTGCATCTACTGCTAATAGGGTTGATGCATCAGGTCTCAATCGTAACTCATTGTCAGCAGCTGCAACATTTACCTTGAATCCAGGAAGGGTTGCTTCAAATCATTCAAATGCTTTTGGCAAAGTTTCCGAAGGCTTTAAAAGTAATGGTGGAACAAACAAGTTACCTACGAGCAATAGTAGTGTCACTTCCAACAGTGTTTCAGGTCCGCTGCCATCATTAAATCTCCAGGTATGATTGTTTTTATCCTGACAATTGTCCCTAATGGTTCACATTTATTTTCATTTCCATGATCTTTTTGGTGTTATCTTTGGGGGTGTTTATTATTTTCACAAAAATAGAAAGACTATTGTCACTGAAATAGGATAACAATACATACCTATAGGCTACGCACTTCCTTGTTTTATATGTATTTTCATATTTTGTTTAATCTGAGGTTAAGTAATCTTTCTGCAACTGTGATCTATGTCCCATCTTATCTGGATCACAATTTTTAAAGCAATGAAATCCCTTCCTCTAAATTATAATACATGTTCTGAAACTTGTTCACAACTATCCGATCTTGTATTTGTTGTACCATTCTTTCTGATAATGGTGGCTTTTTCTTTTGTTAGCTGGAGTTTTTGATACTTCATGACACATTGCTCATATTCTTTCTGCTTATGAGTTTTGTTGTATGATGGAACTTGTAGATGCAGAAAGTAAATATTTGAATTGATGCATGTTATGATTTGTGATCTTTCCACTAGGGTGTTTTTTGTTACTTTGGAAAGAAAGCAGTTTGAAAGCACCAGTGGTCTGTTGTATTTATTGTTATTTTACTCTCTCTTCCTGCACGAGTTATCAGATCTGATGTTTTGATTTTTGAACAGGGTCGGGGTGCTCAAGCTATTGATAATCTTTCAAATGGGAAAACTGTGTCTAATCATAACCAGCTAAAAGTTGCTCTTCCTTCTAGCAATGGCATGTCAAATTTTGGTTCAAGCGGAAATGGGCGGGTGGTAGTTGATAAGGCCCGATCCAAGTTATCTTTTAGTAAAATCACAAATGATGTAAATGGAAACCCCAATGCCTTGACTGAACAGAATCGTGGTCCTAGAACCAGCACATCAAATACTCGGTTGACAGTTAAAGCCTACTCAACCAGGGCTGGAAATAGTGATGCGCAAGGAAACATTATAATTTGCATGGATGACTATAACAAAGATGATTTTCCTGGTGAATATGTAAATGCAAAGTTCTTTGTTATAAAATCATACAGTGAAGATGATGTTCATAAGAGCATCAAGTATAATGTATGGTCATCTACACCTAATGGAAACAAGAAGTTGAATAGTGCCTATGAAGAAGCCCAGAAAATATCAGTAGGAGACTCCAAAGGCTGTCCTATCTTCCTCTTTTTCTCTGTAAGTTGCAGTATTAGATTTCTTTTTGTTTGACAAGTTATTGATTTTCCTGTATAGATGTTATTATGTACTTGTTTGCTTTCTTATTCATTCAAATCTGCGGACTGTTTCTCTTTTTCATTAATAGGTTAATGCAAGTGGGCAGTTTTGTGGTGTTGCTGAGATGACTGGCCATGTAGATTTCCATAAGGATATGGATTTCTGGCAGCAAGACAAATGGAGTGGGAGTTTCCCAGTGAAGTGGCATATAATAAAAGATGTGCCAAATCCCCACTTTCGTCACATCATATTAGAGAACAATGAGCATAAACCAGTAACAAATAGCCGTGATACGCAAGAGGTTAGTTGCCCTGACTATTAGCTCATTCTTGCTACATGTTTTTTCTATTCTTGCTGAAAACAGTCCTGGTATATACGCTCTGACGGGAGTGGTTTGGTGTGGTCACTCCTTTCGTGTTACTTGCTTTCAAATTGACATGTCCACCTGGATTGTTTTGGGGTTGGATCAGGCATGGTTAACCTTATTGGGTTGGGTTTTAGAGTGTCACGGTGGTGTCAACTGTCGTAATAGTCAAGATATTTGTATGGTTTCTACATTTAATGTGGCTTCGTATTGCTAATGCTAGTTGTTCATTTGCAGATAAAATACAAAAAAGGTGTAGAAATGTTGAAAGTATTCAAGAACTATGCATCAAAGACGTCTTTACTTGATGATTTCATGTATTATGAGAATCGGCAAAAACTATTGCAGGAAGAGAAAGCGAGGCTACTAATGAAGAGTTATGGTACCCCAGTATTTGTGCCTGTTCTACACCCTCCTCGCAAGCTTAATAATTTCTTTGGTTTGGCCTCGAGTGGAGACAGCAAGGATGACAATGATATAAATACTTGTTCAGACGGTAAAGTAGCGGTTGCTTCAGAAAAGCAAAACATGTTTAATGTTGAAAATAACGAGGATAGACGACAAGTAGTGGTTGATGGAAAGCCAACGGAAGAAGATAATGATGATGTTTTACGTTTTCGTTCGCTCGCTATAAGCCCAGAGCGGATAGAACCGAAGCCAGTGGAGAGTAGTAATGTTTTGACGGTTGGGTCGATGCCAGTGAAAGTGAACGGGTTTGACGAGTCTTGTGGTTTTCTAACCGTGGGGACAATCCCGCTTGATCCCAAGGCTCTCAAGGGTGGTAATTCAAAAAAGATGGGCTAAAAATGGTGGTTGTATAATTTTTCAGGTGAGGGTGAAGATGGTAATGGGAAGGAGGGAAAGTTGAATTGTATTTTGGGTTAAATTGTGTTTTGGGGGTGATACAGATAAAGTGTGTAAACCTTTGCCTTTTTTTGTTCTTGAGTTGTCATCAAGATATACAGACCTTTTTTTGTTCTTTTGGCTGTTGCTTTTTTACTAATTGAGTATTGCTCTTAGCTCACTCATACTCAATGTTGATCTTCTATGGGTTCTTTCTTTTTAAATATTGAAATTGAATTTGTTATAATAATAGAAAATTAGAAAAGATTTGACTCTCAGTAATTTGTTACAGATGAGTTTGTTTGTGTCTAGTATGTAATCCTTTCGTTTTTTAGGAGGTCAGAGGTTTAAATCTTATCAGAGATGAGGAGGATGTGTGAGTTTATATGTTTTATTTTCTATATATAAATATTATATATTTAAAAAAACGTAATTTTAATATCTAGTTACTCACCTAATAGTTAGCCTATCAGAGTATATCAACTATAACTAGCTTTCACCATTAAAAGTGCTAAGATAGACATTTCGTTTAGAAAAAATCGTATTATGTTTTTGATACAAGGAACATATTCTATAGTGTTCATAATGTTAACACTATGCATTTCAAAGTTGTAAATAAAAAAATATTTCTTTGAGGAAAAACTAAACATTTTTTATTAGAACAACTTATTCTAGATGTAACATTCCATTGTCCATATTTGCATAAACATATACTTGATATTTAAAAAGACAATGACACCACTTTGGTTCCAATAGTACAATAAATTATAATACAAGATTTTCAATTCAAAATTCCAAAATAAACTTCTTGTACAACACATGTATAAGTAACATGTATTCTAAAAAATCCATCAAGTAACAGGTTGATCTTCATATAGTTGTTAAATATGATTCCCCTCCCTCTTATCCTTGGATCCAGCCAGACCTGCAATGCATATTTTTAAAACACAAAAATGAGGGTTAGACCATGAGGTATAGTGAGAAAACCCATTTCTTTGCAATTACAGGATGAAGATCACCAAAACTTGTTATAAAAACAACATTTGTACATCCCACCACTTTAACGAAATATAACTTCAGTAATACAACAACTGCAAGTTATAAAAATATCTTACTACAAAAGATATATAACCACTCAGATTCTTACAGACATCTAGAACATAACTCTCAGAGCTCTCAAATCTCATCAGACTAGAGTTTACACTCTCAACCTCCAAATCATACTAAGAAATACCAGTTACCAGAGTTCTTGGTTATTATCAAAAGCTTTTAAGATAAGAATAGTTTTAAACTCAAACGAAAACTAAAGTAAGTAATAACTAAAGACCCTTTGGTTTTATTTCAAATCTCTACTCTTTTAAACAACCAAAATAGGATATCTGATAACTCAAAACCATTTGAAATATGGGCAATTAATACCTCCGGCTATAAGTCATTCTTCTTTTCTTAATAACATCGTTGCTATTATTTTCATAAGAACAATATTTTCAAGTCTTTATGTCACAAAGAAATGTTGACTCAGAATTATCGTATCTTATGGATGTGACAACAAAAACTATAATAGTAACATACACACAAATGCCACCCTTATCCAAATAACACATCTCTTTGATATGCCACCCTTATCCAAAGAACACATCTCCTTGATATGTCAGCCTTATTTCCTCATTAAAATCTGCAGTTTCAACCAATAATGACTTCAACACAGTTTCATATCAGAAACTTTATCTCAAAAACTTTCCCAGTTCTTAAATTCCCTTTTCAATATCATCTCAACTTTCTTTCAGAAACATATATTTTACTCAACAGTTTTGAAAGAACCCATGGTATATTTCCTCAATTTAAAATCAATATTTGAAAAATACATGTTACCCTTCACAACTCCAAAACAGTTTTGAAACTATTAAACAATATTTTGGAAAACCACAGTTTCATCGGATAAGCTATGGGCGATAAATGCCCCTCATCGGCCAACACTATGGCCGATAACCCTTTTCATCGTTCAACATATACAATTCAGGCAACACTTCGAAAATAAAACATACTTCACCAATCAATACTATGTCCGAACAACGCCTCAAACAAGCAAAGACATCTTCAATGCATAGTTCTTTAAATACTCTCAACATTCTACACATCGTTTTGCATTTAATTTGCAAATCAGCAAGTAGCATGGGAAATACTAAGCTACATCAAATGTAGGAACCATATGAGGTGCTCATGAATTGAATTGATAATATTGAAAACATTTAAACAACCTAACCCAATGTTTGCGATTTGAAAAATCTTAATCCAATCCAACCTAAATCAAAGTGCAAACAATCCAACATCAAATCGTATAAGTTGGTCGGGTTAATAATTTGTTACATTAAAATATTCTCTCAGCCTCATATATGTTGTTTTCTCTACTCGTGATTTCTTTTTTATCATCATTTGGTACAACTTATTCATACTCTTCAACTACTTTTCTCAATTTGCACATATACGTTCACATTTACTAAAAATATATACAACAGAGTATTATAAAGATGAGAGGAGAATGGAAATATATGCATATGAAAAGGTACATGATGGCGCAATTGTCTAATGTACATATTAATAAGTATTTAACAATCATATTAAATCTAAAAATAAAAAAAATAACGGGTTCATCAGGTTGTATTAGGTTTAAATGACCTCAATCCAATTCCAATCCAATACCTACAGTTTAGAGATTTTACAACTTGATTAAACATCGGGTTGGTGGTTTTTGAACAGACTCATTTAGGTAAACGACCTTAAATGAGTTTTTAATTAAATTCATAAAAATAAGTTTATACTCATGAGAAGTTCATAGATTTAATTAAAATTCATTTAAGGTTATATACCTTAAAAAAAAAAAAAAACTTTTTTTTAGCACTCCTAAATTACGAATAACTACTTGATTCTACAGTGAAATATATCTAATCTGGCACAGATCGTGACACTATAATACCCAATCCAATAAGGTATCTTGGATGACAACACACCTTTGTTGAAAAATCAGAAGTTCAGGTAACGCATTTATTCTTCAAGTATAAATGAACTTATGTTAGTTGTTTATTAGTAAATATTAATCTGATTCTGGAACCAGATGGTTGCCACAGATCTGGGTCCTATGTTGAAACTTTGATTCATTTTAAACTGATGCAATTGTGATGGTAATAGATCATGTGTAAATGGAATCCAGTAGCCCAAATTGAGAAGTTTTACCTGAAAATAACCAAAAAGCTAATTGGTGAGATAATCCGTACAAAAGTAAGGAAGAATCAGAGAGAAAGGATTACAGTAGTTGCTAAAATCATCTTACTGTCTACAAATGGGAAAACGAACTCATTATCCCAAATTATTTTGCAATCAAAGTAAGTACAGATATCTACTGTATGGATAATCCAAATAAAATACAAGGAAGGCGTTGGAATCATCGTTAATGAAAACAAATGGTTTATCTCAGTATATATTCCTGAATCATCGAACAATCGAACGACACGTCTATTGAAATAGAAACTCAAACATTTTAAAGTGAAAACAAAAATATATCGTTCAAGCGAAACAGAAATCGAAACCTGTGGTGTTCGAATCCATAGATCCTTAATACAAACCCTATCCTTTCGATTAATAGTGTCAGAACTCAGAAATTAAATCTCGAACTCGGTTGTTGCTTCGTTGTGTTGTGATTCTATCCAGGAGTTGAGCAAAAGAAGACGAGGAGACCAGCGTGCAGACGGTTAGTATTTCCTTTGGTTGCCTCTGTTAATCGAAGTTCTCCGGTGTTCGTCACATCCATCGCTGCCCGTCGTTTTGTGCATTGATGCTTCGGATTTCTTCCAGATCTGTTGAATCTGGAGTTTAGGAGAGATTGAGCGAGAGAGAAGAATTAGGGTTTTAAGAAGAAAAAAGAGGAAATGATTCGAATGGGTTAATCGGTTGAATGTGAGTTTATATACTTCGGGTCAGAGGTTTGGGTTTGTGTTAGCGTTTTAAGTGGTTGGCAGCTTTAGCCCCTAAGGTTTTGATTATCACACATAAGCCCCTAGCCTAAGTAATAAAGTACAATTATAATGCTATTCTAGCACTAAGATGAAACTTCATTGGTTTGGGACATCATCTAATCAACTTTAATTAGGTTAAGTAGCTTTTAAGGTACAAATAAATGAGTTTAAGAGGCCAATTTATCCTTAAGGCATTAATCAATTCAATTTTTTTGAATTTTTTAATCTACAAATGTGTTACATCACCCTTTTTGGTTTTCAGAAATTAAATGGAATCCAGAATTTGGATTTTATCTGTTTTATACGTAGGATTGTCTAGATTCGAAATCCTATGATTCTGTTGAACTCTCTCAAACATAAGATTTTTGAAAATCCTCGAGGATGATTGGGATTTCACGGAATTTCATAAGATTTGTATATAATAGTGTTTTAAAATATGTTAAAACATTTATTTTCTAATAATTCATTAATAAAAAGATAATTTAATTATTTTTATAATTATTTATAAAAAAGAGATTTTATTTAATTGCAAATCCATCAAACCAAACACACCAAATGAAGAAAGTAAGAGAGAGAAGAGGCTTTCTCTAAATATGGAAAACACCCAAAAAATGATTAACAATTGAGACCACCAATATGGTACTTTGAAAAACACAAATAATTAAAGAGAGAAATAATATTTTAATAGATGAATGAAATATTTTAATATTAATGTTGTATTCTACAAAATAAGAAATCTGTTGGAGATGAATGTAAGAGCATCTCCAACAGTTTCTCTAAATTTGGGAAAATCAACTTTTTATTTTATATAATGCTCCAACAACTTCCTTATTTCATAATTTAAAATAGAGAATTATGGAAAAAACTTCAAATATAAAAAATATTTAAACAATATAATTAATGATAAAATCTCTAAAATATAGAATATGTTGGAGTTGATTGTAATTTATTTTAAAGAAATTATAGAGAAGCTGATAAAATATATATATATATATATATATTAACTGTAACTTTTAATTTTCTACTTTAATTTTTAATTGAATTTCTTTGTAAATGCTATAAAATAAACTTTTTTGAGCAAAATCAATTAAATTAAAAATAAAAAAACTTGTCAACGATTAATGGTCAACGAGGAATTTTGAGGTATGAAAGTATTTGAAATTGGAAATCCCCACAAAGCCACTTAAATTAATAAATTGATTATGATATGAGTAGGGGTATGAAAGTAAATTCACGAAAGTTGAGTTCCCACATGGTTAGGTTTGGTTGGTAAAGAGAAAGGAAGTAAAGGGTACGACACCAATATCTAGAGAAAGGATTTTATGTTCTCACGTGCGCTACCAACGATGAGGATCCTTCCACGTGTGACTTATCTAGCCGTTGAGAGATTGAACGTTAGAGAACGAGGTCAGAGGTTACGTGGCATCATATGATTGATCCATCTGACATTATCCATTTCAAAATATCTCAATCCTGCCATGGGGCCCCACTCTCTTTTTAAAAAAAATGTAAATACAAATTTTTTGTAATTTTAATTTAATAAGCTTCAGATCCGAATTTAAATTATAGCATCTTTTGAGAATCTTTCTTAAAGATCACCGGTTCGAATCTTGCAAGATAAATGGGGATTTTTCTAGCTGCTCTCCAAGGCTTTTGGGATTAGTTGAAGGGCATATAAACCGGGTTGGGTTCTGATGAGAAGAAGAATTAATGTAAGAAGCGTAAGAAGAGATCATTACCCTTCTATGTACACTAGAATGAGATACATCGGATCAGTCCCCATATCAAACGTGATTTATTGGTGAATTTTAGATTAAAAGTGATTAAGAGTTTAAGTTCTTTCTTACACTTCTCATGTTAATTCTACTTCTCACACGATCATTCATCGCATCTATGGTTAAAAGGTAAAAATACACAACTAGTATCTATATTATATTATAAACCATTTGACAAAAACTGTTAAAAATCATTTTTTATGCATGAAATACTGTTTATTGATGCATGTTACTTAAAGTTCAAGATTACAAATAAACTATGCGTAAGTACAACTTATTAAAGCTTCATGTTTGAATTAATGTAACTAACTGCAGATAAACATAATCAAAATACAAGATAAACATTTTCTTTTAAATATAAAAAATCTAAAATATAATCAAGATAATAATTAAGTTATAACATAATACTTAATTATTAATCTTATAAAAAATTATATTATTAAA